TCTTTTTAGATAAAGTTTTATTGGAACATATTCAATCCCATTTGCTCATGTATTTTCTTTTTTTTTTTTTTTTTTGCTCATGTATTTTCCATGGCTGCTTTCACACTACAACAGCAGAGATGAGCAGCTGCACAAATGAGATCCACAAAGGCTAAACTGTGCACCATCCACCCTTTAGGAAAAAGTCCACTGCCCTCTGATTAGAGATTAGAGGCCAGAGAACCAATTAGGAACTTACTACAATCCACAGAGAATTAGCAAGGGCCTGAAGCAAAGCCATGTGTAAAAGACAGGGATTGGCAAAAATGTTGAGAAATGTTACTAGATAAACTAGGAGGTGAAGGGACGGTAGAGAAGCTTGGAGGGTGACTCTGGTTTCTGGTCCATGTGGGACCATGAACTGAGACCCCAAATCAGGGAGAGAAGCTGGTGCACAGGGGGCAGGGGTGAGGAAGGCTTCAGAGGCTGGACAGCAGGACAGAAGGTAAAGGTCACAGGCTGGTCATCTGTCAGAGCCACATAAAGTGCTTGGGGACACAAAGCAAAGGAAGAGAAGACCCTGGAGACAAATGAGCAAAATGGGAGAGCCCGAGAGAGGAGGCTTCTGACACAGCCCAAGTTCTACAGTGAGGGGCTGCCAAGTCCCTGCCAGGGGGCATGTGTGTCCAGGCTGAGAAGCCCCCTGAACTGTCTCTTCATTCACTATCCCTTTTTGTTACCTTCTCATGTACTTGCTCAAACCAAAACATTAGCAAAAAAAAAAAAAACAAAAAACAAACAAAAAAAAAAAACAAGGGTACTAACCAGACTCAGTTCTCAGTTCCAGGCCTTTAGCTTTTAGTGTTGAGTGAATAAATTCTTCTTTTTCCTTAAAAAGAAAAAAAAGTCTATCAGCGCTCACTTTCTCCATCTTTCTGTTTTTCTTCGGCTGGACCATAGCTTACAGTGTTCTGGAGAAATCTGGATGTGGATTCCCTGAGAAATGGCCCATCTCAAAGCCCATCTTAGACCATCCAGATGTGGTTAAAAGCTTCATACTTGAAACAGGATTTTAAAACAAGATGTTCAGTAACATCCTTTGGGAGGCACTGTTTGTTTATAAATTTTCAGAATAAGAAAAATATACTCCATTTGAGGTAGCCCACCCACATGGATAAACAAAGTTAAATGTTTTTCTTCTGGATTAGAATATTTATACTTCTCTCTCATGTAGTTTACTCACGAGTACACTGTTCAGAATTCTGAATTCTCAGGAAGAATCGTAACACATGCGAGAAACTTCACACTTCCAAAAACATGAAGAAGCAAGCACTAAAGGTTTAGCACCCCCAAGTGGCTAACCACATTATTTCTCACTCTGACTTAAAACCTAAACTTACCTTACTAAATGTCAAATTCTGGTTTGCCCAGAATTGTTGATTCCATTCTTGTGTGTCTTGTCTTAGTTCTCTAAGCTTTTGTTCCAATGGCGATTCATTTTCAGGGATATAAAAGTGAACAGGTCGAAGATTTGAATATTTATCTGGGGGTCCTATCCAATCACAGCAGGATGTTGTTGGAGGGCAGAATCTTGAGATCTTCAACAAAACATATGGGATTAGTATATAACTAGACAAATGTGTAGCATTATAAAATCAACAATCTGAGCCAAATTGGTGGCTTATGCCTGTAATCCCAGCACTTTGGGAAGTGAAGGTGGGAGGATTGCTTGAGGACAGGAGTTTGAGACCAGCCTTAGCAACTTGGCAAGACCCCCATCTCTTAAAAAAAAGTAGCTGGGGCTCAGCACCTGTGGCTCAAGTGGCTAAGGCGCCAGCCACATACACCTAAGGTGGCGGGTTCGAATCCAGCCTGGGCCCGCCAAACAACAATCATGGCTGCAACCAAAAAAACAGCTGGGCATTGTGGCGGGCGCCTGTAGTTCCAGCTACTTGGGAGGCAGAGGCAGGAGACTCGCTTGAGCCTAGGAGTTGGAGATTGCAGTGAGTGATGCCATGACACTCTACTCAGGGGGACAGCTTGAGGCTCCGTCTCAAAAATAAATAAATAAATAAATAAATAAATAAAAGTAGCTGGGCATGATGGCATGAGACTATAGTTTCAGGTACTTGGGAGGCTGTACTTGAGCGAAATTTTAAAAATAAATTAAATTAAGTTAATCTAGATTTATTAAGATCCCGTGTTAGCTTTCTCTTTTTAAGACTTCAGTGTGGGGCGGCGCCTGTGGCTCACTGACAAGGGTGCCAGACCCATATACTGAAGGCAGCGGGTTAGAACCCGGCCCTGGCCAAACTGCAACAAAAAAATAGCTGGGCATTGTGGTGGGCACCTGTAGTCTCAGCTACTTGGGAGGCTGAGGCAAGAGAATCACCTAAGCTCAAGAGCTGGAGGTTGCTGTGAGCTATGACATCACAGCACTCTACTGAGGGCGACAAAATGAGACTCTCTAAAAACAAATAAAAAAAAGACTTCAATGTGCCCAAGGAATTTCCAACTTAAAAGAAGTGTAATAAATATTAAAATTGGCCTAGTGCAGTGGCTCACACCTGTAATGCCAGCACTTTGGGAGGCTGAGGAGGGAGGATGGCTTGAGCCCAGGAGATTAAGGTTGCAGTGAGCTACAACCACGTCATTGTATTCTAGCAGAGACGAACTGGGCAACAGAGTGAAACCCTGTTTCAAAGAAAAAAGAAAACTAAATGGCTTGGTGCCTGTAGCTCAATGGCTAGGACGCCAGCCACATACACCAGAGCTGGCAGGTTCGAATCCAGCCAGGCCCACCAAACAACAATTAGAACCATAACCAAAAAATAGCCGGACGTTGTGGCGGGCGCCTGCAGTCCCAGCTGCTTAGAAGGCTGAGGCAAAAGAACTGCTTAAGCCCAAGAGTTTTGAGGTTTCTGTGAGCTGTGATGCCACGACACTCTACCAAGGGCAACACGGTAAGACACTGTCTCAAAAAAAAAAATTAAAATTAATGCTATAGGCCAGGCATGGGGGCTCATGTCTGTAATCCCAGCACTCTGGAAGCCAAGGATACCCTAAGCCCGAGAGTTTGAGACCAGCCTGAGTAAGAACAATACCCCATCTCTAAAAATGCCTGTGCCTTGTAGCAGGCGCCTATAGTCCCAGATACTTGAGGCCAAAGCAAGAGGAT